GATACCTATAATTTTTTCAGGGCACTTGGTACTGTTGTAATTCGGTTTATGCACCCGTTGTATCTGATATCGTCGGAAGTCGTACGGAAGCCATGTTTACTTCAGTGACCGCAACGACACGTTAACTGCGCACGCGCCGGTTCATGTTATTATTATTTATTTTTACACGTCTGCTCAACGTTTGCGCAGTTTTCTTTTGAAGACCACCCGAAGTGTCTGATGTTCTCGCGCTTTGAAGGTTCATTCGTATTTGTTAATGGAATAAATAATTATGAAGATACCTAGTTTAAATATAAATGCAACAAAATACTTTGTTTTTGAGGTAATCACTGCTACTCTACGAGAGAATAAAGAACGACATATTTTTGATTAATATTATGTGGCGACACATGTCAACGGATGACGTCATAAAAATCCTACATCGCACATGCGAAGTTTACATGCGAATTAACATGGAGAGAAAATCCCAACAAACAACTGTTGGGCAGAAAGCCCGCTAGGCACGATCACCTCGCCTGGTCGGAGGATCCTCCTTTTCCGATCTTAGCGAACTGTACTCTCTGTTCCCTAAAATTACAATAATAGGTTATAACATGGATTTTATGGAAAGGATAGGATTTGTACCTCAGGTTTTGTCTCCAGCAATTTGAATCAATCTAGAGTACCAAAACACCATAATTCGACAGTTCATTTACAAAATAAGGCTGTATTAGAAAGTTATTTCAGTGTTTAGGGCTAAGTTTAATGCATAGGTTTGGACAAACTGACCTGTAGTATTGTGACTAGTCGAAGAAGCTAAACTATTATGTTTGAACCTGGTTTAATATACCGTTTCCGGCTTTCAAGTTTCAGTTTCCAGGACCAGTTTGCTTGCCAAATAAACTTGGCGAAACCAATGTAGGTACTGAAACAAACTTGAAAGTTTAAAGTTAACTGAATATTTAACAGATGATTAACTTTGTGGTGGTTGTATATTTAAATATTGTTCGAACAATAATGATGCAATCATAGCAACTTCGGACGTGAAAGCATAGTTTTTTTCCTACCTAAGCAAGGTCTATTTATTTGTCTTGAATAATGTAAACTTTAATAGTAAGTATTTATATCTTTCTTATTATTTACAGTATCGTCAGTTCACTAATTTATTTTGTTTGTAAATACAGAGTAGTCGGTTTTAAATTACTTCAAAACATGACCCTCTTCGTATAGATTAAAGCTTGTTGTCTAATCTCGTTAAAATACAGTTCTCGTTAAGTTGTCACCGAAATATTTACTCACTAAACATTTGTTTTCGTAAAAAAATGTCTTTGTAACTTCATAAATAGCGAGTTAATTGAAAGAGCTCGTTAATCGTTGCGAGTCAGCCGTACATTACAAGAAAAGCGCGCATTAACATTTTTACATTTGCTATGCATCTCTCCCGACGTTCCTATAAACCAAAAAAGAAGCAATTTGGAACTGTAATACTTTCCGGCACATTGACTCGAGAGTAATTAAATAGCGGCGAACGAACTCGAACTGTACATTGAAAAATTGAGGAAAAATTTGTCACCCTCAAAGATTGTTCGTTCGCATTGAGTTGCTGAAGTTTCCAGTGGAGCACTGGAAACTTTTTGTCAACTCACAGTGGACTCTCTTGAATACTCTTGAAAAACTTCGATGAGAGAGATATTATCGACGATTTATTATTATTAATGTTTCCTACTATTATTTACAGTAAACTTACATTTATCAAGAACTGGGTAAGTACTTAAACTTTACAAATCGTTAGTTTTCTTCACATGAGATTTCCTTTCAAGTCACTTGCACTGGGTTGTTTACGTTTCAAAAGTAATATGTGTTATTTGCGCATGAAGTAAAATTAATGAAGCAATTACTATAATAAGCGCTTGTACAGCGGTCTCTGAACCGTTGTGGACTTTTCAGCCATTGCAATATTTTATCACTTACTCGCTTGAACTTACGACGTAGATGTGAAGTTAAAATACCTAATAGTATAATATCGGTAATCAATAGGTCCCAACTAGACCGAGTTAAAGTATCAGAGTTTGAAAGTGGCCAAATCCTTGGGTGATGAATGCATCCCGGTCCGCGACCCCGCGGCCGCCCATCATCCGTCACAGGGCTATCGCACGTCTCGACCGACGTAAAAATGTTCCCCCCACTAACACTTGATTAATGTTTGAAAAAAGCCCTTAATTGGCCTACACCCGAACATTTCATTTAACTTCGCTTCCATAACAGCTGGTTAGGCGGAGGGATCCACCCGATTTTTACCCTATTATTACAGGTTAAGACTTTATTTTTAGCGTTCGGTATTTCATTTAAAATTATGTTGATTATTTGTGGTGAGATTCTATACATCTGCCGCTGAATCACGAATACCGAGTTCCCTATTATTGAATCAGCATAACAAATAGTTTATAGTTTATCGCTATGTTGGACAGCCGGTATTATTAATTAGTTTAAACGCAAAGGTCAATAAATTTACCTTTGCGCTATTGTTGTTAAATTCCAATCCAAAATAGTACTTACTGTCTAGTCATGTAGAAATTTGAAAATGTAATATTTGTTTAGTGTCAAATGTAGGTAATATTAGGCATCTTCAAATGGAAATATAAATTGTGACAACCGTTCATATTTTGTAGACTCTATTTTCTATGTAAATCCTGTGTGAATCTGTGATCAGTCAAATCTTGTTTGCTAAAATGTCAATCTCATTGTAAGTCAACACAATTTGAGTGTGTACATACATCGATCAAAATAATAACAACCTGTATGTGAAAAACATGTTTCAGTACAATTCAAATATAAAGACGTTTATTTGTTATAATGTTTGGTTAGTTTTGATAACTATAAAGGTTGTAAAAATATTGTAAAATAAATGAAGTGAATCAAAATAAATAACATCAACGGTATACAATGTACATATTATAAACTAACACTTGACACAATGAACCAGCTGAGTCTACGATTTTATGAAATAGCTTTCGGTTTATTTATATAATAAAATTGTTCGTTAAACATTTACCACACACCAATTTGTAAAATTGCGAGGACGTTGCCGTCAGAATGAGGTTATTTGTAGGCTTTACCATCGGGTGAAATGGATGCTCGGCTAATCGGGGTAAATGGTAAATAAACAGCTTCGGGTTTTTCAAAGCTCCGTCGTAATCATTGTGCGGCTGCTGTAAAGCTGTAATAATTAGTTTATTCTTAATTTATTACCAAAGTTAATGCCCTAGAGGTTTCTGTCACTCCAAGTGTGGTACTTTACTTTAATAATACACCGCAGTCGAGTTTGAAATCTTAAAGCTGTGAAGTTTTTACGGCAAATAAAGAACATTTTCTCAGTTATAATGTACAATATACGCTTTTGGTTACATAAATGAGTAAGCAGTAGTAGTTAATTCGTTTATCACAAACCATTAGCAATTTGAAACTTCGCACAGAAACCTAATTAAAAAATAAATTTGAGAACCGAAAAGAAGAATAGAATTGAATGTGCTCAACGATTGCACTACTACACTATTTAGTTGACATCGATACACTTTTTTTAAACGACATTTCTAATTTATCGCTAATCTAAGGCAAGAACATAAATACACATAATGTTTCTTTTGACATGACATGCTCTTGTTTCCATCGTTACTTAAAGCATGAAAGAGGTACATGTGTTATATTCCTAATAGGGGCGTGCCCTTTATATTTTTATTCATGTTTGATGGGTGAACTTGCAACCCTAAATAGGTCTGTCGAAGGTCATAGGGATTCTGACCGTGACCTCCAGTTCACTGGTATTAAACAGGCCGAGGGAGGTTCTCCCTCCTACCTCCTGCAAAGAAAAGTGAATGCAGGGAATAAAGATAATGAATTGCCACTGATGCTGAGAAATAGCGGAATTAAGGCGTATCTTGTATGCATAAGTAAGCGACAAAGGTTTCCGTATTTTTTAACCATTTGGTCGCAGTGACATATATGTGTGGGTGATGTTAAATGACTTCAAACCGTTCTCTCTCTGTTCCCTACATATGTATACATATTTGTAACTTTGGATTATCTAAGAATATAAGTGCCTGTAAAAATAATGTTTACAATTACTTTATTTTGTAAAATTAATAAAGACATTTTAAGTTATTTCATGGTCATTATTATGTAAAAACGTTAAAAACCTTCTTAATTTTTTTATTTAACTCATTAATATAAACTGTACAACTATTTATAAATACAAACTATCCTAACACACGTTCCTTAAATACTCCTTCTGTCATTAGAAAACAATATTCCCAAAAATATTTTCCCCAAGTTAGGTGGAAAACGCTCCAGGAAAGCTATGAAAGCAATATTAATGTGCTCGGCAATCAAATCGCATAGAGAATGAAGGCGTGAACTGGGTTACTGCCAAAATAGACGCCTAGATTAAAAAGCCTAATGTTCCTGGCTATGGCGATGATGAAAATAGAAATAGATCATTAATGCGAGGCTCGAGAGTTTTATAAAAGGTAAATTATATTTTATCTTCAACGTATTAGGTTTATAATGGATTGCGTATCAATATACAGTGGAAAGAAACATGAATGGAGGAGAAAACGTAGATGATATAAATAATGTCTTAAAATATGGTTCTATAAATAGTTTTTTGCAATTCTTGGCCACATTATAATTTGTAGTTACGAAGAAAAAAAATATGTACCTATATTTTTGTATAGTAATAGCTAAAAGTAATCGAAATAGGTTTAAACTTAATCTATTGTGCTTGAAATAAAGATTATTATTATTATTTAACAATTTTTAGGACACTTCCAGTCCAACTCAAAATTGTATTAGGTTTTTCGATTTTTGTAATATTTTCAGCGTCATGATCGTCCGGTTATACAAATAGAATCGAATACATATTCCTGACGAATATTATGTATAACTATAATTTGGGTATACTTATTATGTGTTATTTAAAAAAAAAACTTGGAATGTTACGTCACTACAACAGTTGTTTTTTTCAGGTTGTGTACGATGATGGTGTCGCGCAGTGTGGCGGCCTGTGCTCGCGATTGTACGCTGAAGTGAATCAGACGGCAGTACCATGATACCAGCGCACGCGCACCCCTGTCTTCTCCTGCTACTGGCGATGTTTCTCACTAGAGGTTGGTAGACACTTTTCAGAATAACAATATAGTAAAGATATAAGAAAATTATGAACTGGTCTAACTTTAATGATTTTTAAGATTTAATAAAATAAAATAAATTTATTAAAAAACGTAGAACACATTTACAATAATTGGTGGCTCAGATTTTATAGTAATGAAAAGTCTTAATAATACAAATCGTAATAGTTTACTTAATCTCTTCTACGTCAATATATATGCGAAGAAATAACGTTCTAAGTATATATATTTAGGGACTACCCGAACTAGATTTAGGTAAACCTGTGTTTCAGGCTATCAATGTAAAAAAATCATAATTATTTAAAGACCAAGCAAGGACAACCTGTCCTAAATTATTAAACAAACATAACACCATGCTAGTTAATATGTAGGTAATTCACTTAAAACGAGCACTTTATTTTCACACTTCGATTCGAATTGAGGGGCTGTAAATATTCTGTAAGTATTAGATTACACTCATTTAAACTTACACTAAATTTTTGGCAGCCTGTTGAGTTTGTTATATAAATAAGGTCCTAGAAATAAATAGCATCTGTTAGTAAAAGCATGTTTCGTATGAGGGTTACTGCAAGCTAAATCCTTTCTTCTCTTGCCGAAAGATACCGGGCTAAAACCAATTTCAGTATGTTGCATTAGTACTATGTTAAGGAAAAAAAACTGGCGTACTGTCAGTACTTTGCATTCCCTGTATAGCTAGTGAGTAGGAAACCTGAAAGGACGAAAGGCGACCTTCAGAATTGCTCTTTGGGCACGTTCTAGGGGCAGGAGAATAGTTTTTAGAGCACCACCCCATGAGTTAATACAGTAGGTAAGAATGGATTGACATAAAGCCATATATACCTGGCGGATCAAGGCAAAGTCCCTATGTTGCACAAGAATTTGAAGACATATGTATATTAATTTTCGTACTTTAGAGCATAATGTAACAATATGTTTTCGAAAATTGAGATTAGCATCAATAGTGACACCTAGATATTTTATATAGTCAGTTTTTACTATTGTAGGGCAAGCGCATGCTGTGTCAGCAGTCGTACTCGCATGACAATTATATGCATACATGTTTAGGTTAGTAGTCGATATGTGAGTATTTCTCATTGAAAATAACAAGTAATTTGTTTTATCTGAATTCAATGTTAGGAAATTATTATGAAGCCAATTAGACACTATATTAAAACCATTTTAGGCGAATTCATAGACCTCATCTTTGGATTTACTGTGAACACCAGAGCTGTGTCATCAGCATATGACATAATAACACCAATTTTGGAAGGACAAGATGCAAGGTTATTGAAATATATTAGGAATAAAGTAGGACCCAATATAACAATACGTGGAATGTCTTTTATTTTAGACAATGATTAAATCTCCACACATGCCACAATGGGGTAGACGACTAATTTTTATTTTAATGTCCGTCTGGTAGATTATTTAAAAACATTAGACACGTATTTTTTATTTTCTTACGGAAACGAATAGTTTCGAAGATATATTGATTTGAAATGTCGCGTGACGTCACTTCTCAGTACATTTTATACTAAGAAATGACGTTTTAGCCCCCACTCCTAAACTTTGATTACTTTTTATCTAAGTATTGTTTTATTATACAACAAAATTAAAAAATACGTGTCTAATATTTTTTTATTACCTAAGTTACGGACTAATTATATTTTTAATTTTCATACCCTGTCATCATCCCCATTATTAATGCAAATAAACCCATGATAAAATTACAGTAAGAAACAACCAGGATTATCGGTAGAAAATATGTCTCATGACTACGATACACAATGACGGCGATTACTGAAAGACATTTTTAAAACATAGTTTACTAGCAACTAAACTTCAAATAGGTATAAATTGTATATATATATATATATTTATTTATTACTAAAATAGCCTAAATATCCTTGAAAACCTAAGGAAATAAGCACCTAGTCGGTTCATGCTTATTACCCCAGTCTTTAATTTTAGCTTCGAGCTACAAAGATTTTTATTACGGACTGAACACGTGATACAAATTCCTAGTTAATAGATGCTTTATAGAATGCAATGTAATTTGATCGATATTGCTCACGCAACATTTAGATGGAGATAAAGACGTTAGGACTGATTTGCGTAATAAATTGGTGAATGTATTTTTACAACATCTATTCTACTCGCGGGTATCGTAAAACTCAACTAATATTACAATGTGACTGATAAAGTGATAACATAATTGGCGAACGGGGCTGTAGGCGTAACAGACATATGCTTACCCTTTTAGACTAAGTATGTAACGAATCTGAAGAATGAGGACTTCATAATTAATAATAACATTGTCAACAACTTTTCCATTATGAAATATTATTCTAACGATACACTTTCATACTAGATTTTACTTCTAAATGTTAAAAGTCAGAACTTATTGTTGGCACAGTGGCATCTGAAGTCCATTGAATATTCATACAGCAAGTTTAATTTACCAGTAGGAAGGTACTCACTTAATTAGATAGGTACTCAGTAAAGCACACGTACAGGAGTGAGATAGTCACGCCACCTAGTGCTATGTAAATATAAACAAATTAGCTTCGCCTAATGGCGCCCCGATCGCTTTTCGCGTCGGTTTTGCTTAGCGTAATTTTCTAAGCAAGTTCCTTTGTAGGAACGCTCAACGCTGAATTGCAGACAAATACAGGTATGCACGTTAGATAGAATATATAATAAGTAACGCATGAGCGAAGCCTTTGGAGTTTTAGAGGTTTACATATAGGTATAATATGTAAATGTTCAACTGGTGTAGACCCTTAAATCACAAAGACTTACAGTATTCTTTTACCTTAAACACATGTCTAACAACCTCAAAACTCTTAATCAAAAATTTTCATCAAACTATTTCCAGCGATGAAGTCGTCAAAAATCAATCGTTTCATAAAAGTTTCAAGTTAGTATTTAAACATGAGCTGTAATACAGTAAGCCGGATACGGGGAAAGTCTGTCTCCGCAGCAACTAGTTTGGGTCATTGATCGCTGTAATGTAATTAGCAGAATGAAGGACGACACAGAAATGCACTCTACGCCACCACTCCCACAATAAGAAATCACGCCATTATATATTTTTCTCATTTTTCCCCTTGCACAGACAAAATATCTACTGACTTTGCTTTTATTGAAATTACCCTCTTCGTCGCGGGAAGAACGAATTAAAATCGCATTAGGAAATCCCGTTTCCGCCTAACTTTTCCAGTCTGTGCACAGAGTCCCGGTGTATCGGAATAAATGGCCCAAACTTCGTTTATTTATATAGTCTTGCTGAATATTTATGTTTTCGTTCCTAATTTTGCATTCCCGTCACTTCAAATACAAGTTTACCGAACTGAGAAAAACTCGGCTTTGTATTTCAAGAAAAATATACTTTCAAAGTTTATTTGAATATTGTTTGTGACTGTGTTCGATATTTTTACAGTAAAATGGCGTTTATATACGGTAAGTACTGCGCAAGCTACACGACATAAATACTGAATCATTGACAACCGCAATCAAAGGATCACGTTTATAGAATTGTTTCTTTTCGGAAAGTTATCGTTCAGAATAACCGTCTAAAATCTGTGCCTCATAAATATTAAACTAGGAATTCCTTTTATCCAAACATTCGAAGCAAAATTGTGTGCGAATTATTCACCGAAGTGCTACATAACGTAATCGATAACAACGGAATACCGGCAACACTAACGTCAACTGACGTGTAACGACGTCGACGTCGGTCGGAACAACTTCAGTCGCAGTAAAAACTGTTTACCTTCCAAGACTCGTTAAATTACTAGTAAACCTACTTGTAAGAACAAGAATTTAGTACCTGCCTAATGTGTCCCGAGTTGGTTAATATGAAAAATGCGAATGGAGTCACGCCTGTTCGTTGTTGCGCACCCAAATAGGATAATCGCGTAGTTATTGCCCATGTCGGAATAGACACTAGCCACGCCAACCGCTCGTTTATTTACATGCTATAATCCATGCCATAATTCTGTTATGTGGAAATGTCTTACTGTGTCGGCGCGACGCCACGGTCGGCGGCGATGATCGATGTGCGCCACTCGCGCTGTATTCAATGATTGCTTTTCATAACGAACGCTAAACACATTATTTACATTCAGCCGGTGTCTGAAGGTATCTTCTGTTCACAAAGTCGTGCAATCAACATTTGTTAAATGTTATTGTGCAAAGAGTGTACTTATTATCTCCAAGTTTTCCTAAACAGAAACAAAGCCTTTTGAAATACAATCTCCGTGAGTTGAACAATGGCTCAGATCTGTAATATTATCTGTGCATTGTTATCACGAAGGTTTTTCGGCATCGTATTTCTAAATGGTGTTTCTCTTACTCGGGGCCATTAGTACAAATATATGATAATTGGTGCAATCATACCGAGCGTGTAATTAATAAGGAGCGCCGCCGTAAACAGAATATAAAAATGTTTTTTGTTTGTTCGTGTTTTCGCTTTTTTCAGGCATCATGATGTTATTTACATTTTATATTTTATAAAATCTAATAGCGGCGTCTCGTAAAAGACGACATTTCATCCAGAATGCGGCAGATGGCGTCAAGGTCCAATATTTTACGGTGGGCTCCGCTTTGTTGTTGAGTCGTCGCGATGCCAAGTGCCCATAACATGCACAAGCAAGGTATAGCGTGACGATGCTCATAAGAGCGGAGACGTTTGACGCCAACCCTTATCCACATAACCTTCAGCCAATATGTAACTAAAGCAAATTATGACACTGACTTGCTATATCGTACACAGTATTAATTATCTGATGAGATTGATGGAGCAAGCTTACTAAATTTCTTTTTAATTAATGAAATAGCGAAACGTCACCCGAAAAAATATTACCTAAGATTAGATAGATCTTAGTATAATAATTAATACCTAATATTGTATGTATTTTCCAAATGCACGATTTTTGATTTCGTTCAATTCATTGATTTAGTTGAGTAGATTATTT